ATATATATATATATATATATATATATATATATATATATATATATATACACACATACATACAGACAACTTCAAAATACATTCTCACCCTGTACTGAAAACAGTTTCAGCGTCTCAGCGCCACCAGCTGGTGAGAGGTGGTGACGTCAATTTGAACCCTGCCCACTGGAACTGGTACTGAAAGCATAATGGAAGCACAATGTGTACCGTACCGAGTAGAGTACAGCCGTGCTGTACCGGTACTACATGTACTAATGGAAAAGGGGTTTGTGTTGATGCAAGAAAAACAGAATGTGAATGTTTCAGGACCCTGTTGAAGAAGTCAATCATCCTTGTTCGAGGTTCACATTTGTAAACGTGAAAAGGGTGGATGAAGGGATACTGTTATTTATGCTTACTGTTCTACTATAAAACCATAACAGTCTAGAAGCAATGATTAAATATTTTTATAGAGTCAAACCCATTTAGGTCAACAGGATTTTTAGGATTCTTGGTAGAGATAGAAAAATACAGTCACCTGTCAGAGTGCTGAAATTAGACTGATAGATTTGGAATATGGTTATTATCTGGGAGGAGATTCTATGGTGATTAAACTTAGAGATAAGTTAAAGCTAAGAGGTTAAGTTGTTGGGATGATAATAGCAAATGTGATGGGACACACATGAAGGCAGATCACTTGACAGATGGAGAACCACACTGTTGCCAGGTGAAGATAGAAGTAGACAGGAAAATTAGAGATCTGAAGACAAAACCCCTAAACAATGAAGCAGAAGTTTTCAGGTTTTGTATCACAGGTGGTGGATAAAAGGAAGGCAGATGAGCCAGAGAACCCTTAAACAGCAAAGTGGGCTCTACTGAAGGCCATCAGAAGAAAGTGGAAGGAGCCAAGGTGGATCAGCTCCTACAGGATGATGGAAAGAACCTCCCATGCCGTGAAGTTGGAAGGAAAAAGAGACACCTGGTTTTACTGGAGACATGGAGACAGTGCATCGAAACAGAGGAGCCGTGGGATCAGAAAAGGCCGAGCCGAATAAGGAGGAGCTAGGAGACATGGATTGGGGCCTGGAGTCTGCGTCAACTGAGGAGATTGATCCAGAGATGATGGAGGAAATAACGGATCTGACAGGCATGGCGAACAAAAGAGCATTAAAGAAGTATGAGAGAGAAGCAAAGGAGAAGAACAGAGAAACTTGTTCCTGTGGAGAATGGTGATACAGAGATGACAACAGAGGAAAGGACAGTCACTCAGAAACATCCAAGCGGACCAGACTCGAGAGGAGAGACAGTTTTGGATGGGACCTGGCCAAAACATGAGCTGGACGAAAAAAACAAAACAGGAAGCTGTCTCTACAAAATACCACCCTCACAGAATAGGTTGACATCATAGAGGACTCAGGAGAAAAAAGGAGGCCCTAATAATATAATCTGCCATGAAAAAATAAATCCTATTTTTTTTCTTTTCTAAAAAAAAAAAAAACTCATGAAGAGGGAATAACACTGAAATGTTGCCAGATGAAGGTGAATAACGCCATTCTGTTTTACTTTTGTGGATGTTTGATTTGTACTCAGAAGAACTGGAAGAGGAAGAAAGGGAGGGTTCTTTCTGATAAGAACTGTCGTTTTGGTTTGTTTTTGATTTCTTTTAAACTGATGAAACCCAGGAGGATGCTGAATGTGTCCTTAAGGCCATCGCCATATGGGGCATGAGGTGATGCGGATGTTTCTCGCCTTATTGGAAAATTTGCCCTGAGAGGGTTTTCCACCGCATACATAAATCATCCTACTTTCAAGAGAAGGTTATTGAGAAGTGATAAAAACTGTGAACAAGAGGGAAAAATGACAGAGATGTAAAAAGTCACAAAATGTTCTTGACCTACTAATGTCAAATGTTATGACTATTAGTTTGAGCTAATAACTAATTAGAATGATTTCTTAAAAAATAGATCAAAAGGGAGATTGTTGGGATTAAAATAACCTTGGATGATAAATGGTGGAAAATAGCATAATATGGATTGGTGATCATTATGAATTATGGAAAATAGATCATATAAAGATGGCTAGAATTTCTGTTAGATATGGCCATAAGCCAATAAATAATATCATTTCTAGGACTGCTAACTTTAAAATCAAACCATGACGCTGTCTGCTGTCAATAGGAAAATAGTGACTTATTTCTAATGAGGCCTTTAATGACAAACAAAACATCAAAAACGTTCTTCCTCAGGTAACTGAAGTTAAATTATAGTTCATTCATTAATTCAACCTTTATTTAGACAGGTAAATCCCATTCACATCATTTGAGTATGTGTGGGAATTATAAAATAAGTAATGACGAGTAGTTTAATAGGTCATAATGACTTTTGTAAGACTTGATAATGTACCAGGTTGCCGAGGGGATAATCAGAGTCTCACAGTGTTTGTAAGATTATGTGTGGCTTGGTGCTGATTATGGGTCATATACTCAGTGGAAAGAGAGGGCAGCTAGTGTGTGTCTGATAGATTAGACAGGGACTTCAGAGAGTCTGTAAGGTGTTTATTGGACAGGAATTAAAAACAGGAAATGTCACTGGGTGGAGAAAACAGTCTATAAATGTTGGAAGAACCTTGAGAAACGTCAGAATTGTACAGAAGACCTCTGAATTCAGGTAATATAAAACAGTTCTCTCTTGTTCATGCATTTTGAAGTCTGTAAGTATAAAGATGTTGTTTAATTCTGACATAAACGTGTGTTCCTTCTGAGCAAATGATCTGTGCAGGGGAGAGGAGCAGAGATCTTTGTTTCCCTCGTACAATAAGCAATGACTTGTCTACTACTCCATGGTATATACAAAATACACACGACACTGATGAACACAAAAGGTGCGATGCTCTGATGGAAAATATGTGAAAAACGCTATAAAAAGCACTTGATGTGAGTCAGTTCAAATCAAGCTTGTCAGGTGGCTGCAACTTTTCCACACTTTTCTTGGTGTGGAGCAAATCCACTCTGCAGGAACCCACTGGATGTTTGCCTCATCCATCTTCTCGAGGTCGGCTTTCAACATCCTAAATATTGTGGTGACGTCTCCGTTAACGATCACCTTGTCAAACAGGGACCCGTACAGGTTTTCCATAATTTCAGCCAAGTCAATCATGTCCTCAAAATCCTCCTCCTGTGAACCAAAATGACAGAATAAATCAGGTATTCTAAACTTTTTTTCGTTCAGTGCCAAAAAACAGTTGTTCACATAAGATGATATAAGATGGAACTTTATTGATCTTGCAGGAAATTGTTGATTGTTGTGCCAGAGTTTCAATATGAAGGAACATCATTCTCATAATCATCAACTTTATTTATAAAGCCCTTTAACAGCAGCCACAGCAGAAACAAAGTGCTGAACATCAGTAATAAATAAGATAAAAGAAAGCATAAAGATAAAGTGACAAAGCCAAGCACACAATGAATTCAAAACTCAGATTAAAACACAATAAAATGACGAGTTAAGCAGATAAAATCAGTACCAATAAAAATAAAGTAAAATCAAGTCTCAGTTGGTTGAAGGTCACTGAGTAGAGATGAGTTTTCAGATGGGTTTTAAACATGGACAGTGAGGGGGTCTATCGAATGTGCAAAGGCAGAGCGTTCCATAACTTAGGAACACTAATAGAAAAGTATCCTGATGCATGCTCAATAATCCAGGTAGAAAAATCTAAAAAAGTTAAATCTGGTCCTCTGGACATTCAAAAAAACCTAAAACAAAGCAAAACAACAAAAAATGTAGAAACGTTTCGTCTCTCATCCGAGAGACTTCCTCAGTCTGACGTGCTGTATTCAGCTCAGTCTCTTAAATAGCACCTTCTCAGAGTGGATCAACCAGTTTTGCTGCTGATGTAGTGAACCTGATCTGAACCTGATCTGACCTCAAATCTTGATCAGATGAACAGAGACTGTTATTTCATTGATCTGCATCCAGAAATACAGTTTGAGCCATCTGGTGACTTTCTTTCTTGAATTAATCAAGCAGAAAAGACAATTCTCTATGATCATTACTATTTTACAAATGTTTGATAATCAAATTGTGTTAGCTCACTCAATGCTTACAGGTTGAAGAGAACTACTCATTTTTATTTTACATAAACAGTAAGTAATGATTTTTATTCCTCATTCAAAGAAGAAATCAGGTTAATATGCATTTCTTGATTTTCTGTCTGCAATGAGCCAAGTTTTGTAAGTATGTTAAAAGTCAGGTTTCGGTCAACTAAAATGTTTACCGAGGAAAAATGTCATGTTTAATCTTTTCAGAAGATAATAAGAGGGAGACTCCATGAAGTCTGGTTTTTCTGCAATAATCTTTCTGTTAGTTGTTGAACAATCTCATTCTCTGACCTCGACTTTTCATAACACCTTACATCACAAACCACACCTATTCTGATTCATCCACGAATCAGAAAGCTCTAAATTGACCCGGAAGTCAACTCATTTAAAATGTGGCAACTTCCCGGTTCTTGTAAGAGAGTGCTAAAGTCTGAAGTCTGAAGCCAGACGCTGAAGATTTATGGAGCTAAAAGAGTCTGATGCTGCAGAACTCTGAGAGTTTCACACAGAGTGCTGATGAGTTGATGGAGTTAGAGTTCTTGGATGCAAACGCGTTCAGGATGATCCAGAGACGTTTTGGGATTATAACTTCTGTTTGAACAAACCCCGTACGACTCTCGAAGGATTTCAGCTGCTCTCAACGGAGACGCTGAAAGAGTCAAGGAAGGATCCTATACCGAGCTGATTTATCATCAACCAGGTAACGGTTTCTACTTCGACAAGCGTACCGTCGCAAGCTGAGATCTGATGGAGCGTGCACGTTTTCTGGTCAAACAGATTAATTCCCTCACAAATCTCTCTGTAAGATAAATCTCCATTTCCATCTTAAACTCTGCTTTCTCTTAAAATCAGTACAGATATTTTAGAAATATCTGAAGCAAAGTCCTCAATCACCGCCGTGTGATTGAAGCCCATTTTCTGTGAAACTTGTCTGTTATTATTTTCATATTTTGCCAAATTAATGTAAATGTTTGATGTTAAACTTTGATTCTGAAAATAAATGACCGCATTCATTTTGATGGGTCAAACATAAATAACGTCTCTCGTTACATTTCTGTTAAAATTCAATGCACGACATTTACACAGTCAGAAAGATGAGGAACTCGTGAAAAGTATGAATATATATCCTATATGTCATACTACAGTTGGTGGCGTACGTACGTACGTTACTACTACAATTGGTGGCCCGTAACGTGCTCATAAATGACTGTGAATTCGTGTAAAGATTGATTTTTTACATGTTGGCATACAAGAAAAGTAACAGTTTATCAGCTGTGAAGAAACGCAGCTCATGCTGCACCGCTGAAGCGAAACGCTGCATGTTTTTAAGCGTGTTGGACTGTGGAGCTCAGGAAGCTCACAGGAAGCTGAAATAGTGTCATATGTCTTTGTGAAAGCTGAATTTGTACGCCTGTTATCGTAACTAAAAAGGTTTTGAGCTGGGTGAAAACGCTCTATTCTGTTTAAAGACGGTCCAGATGCGGTTCTGGCCGGCTCGGTTCTGAAAAAGTTCGAGTTGTTTTAAACGGTTTAAAAGACGTTGTGCCTCGGAGTAGCAGACTCCGCAAAGCTCAGAGTTGATTCGTTACATTTTTAACAGAAAAAGTGCATTTTGACAGTTTAAAAGACGAAAAAGTGACGAAATTATTTTTCTAGCATGCTAGTTGCTTTAACGTCGTGATTGGTTGAATATTGCTGCTGTGGAGCGCTCTGATTTGCTGAGAAGGTTGAATGACGTGCCTACGTAACTTCCTCTCAACCCTGCTGCTTTGTCATTGGTGATTTCAGTCACGTGACCCGGAAATGAAAATTCGTTTTCATAGGGAAATAAAATCTGCTTTTTAAAGCTGAAAAGCGCTTTAAAAGTGTATTTTGATACGCTGGTTAAGTTCTTCGAAGCATACTCGCTGAAATTTTGCCACGTTAGAGTTTAAAATCCGTCATTAAATGATGTTTTTTGAACAACGCTAGCGATGCTAATTTTAAGCTAACAGCTAACGACCGGAGCCTTCACTATGCTTAAAATCACTAAATAAAGCTGCAATAATGTCCAGAAAACTCATGTTCATGCATAAAAGTCGTGCTTGTTGAAACTACGCCACGTTTACGCTTGAATTCGTTCAGAAATGTTGATTTTAACCGAGTTTAGCCGAAGCTAACTTTGAGCTAAGCGGCTAACAACAGGATGTCAACCGAACATCACAGGAAGTCGTCATAGACTCCTGCTGGTAGAAAGCTAAACGCTTCCCCCTCCTGGAGAAACTTTAAATCACAGTTTCACTTCAGTTTTAGGTTTAAAGAGTGAAATTAAACGTTTTTATTTTTCTAAAAGGCATTTTTGAGTTAATAAACGTTCCTCAAAGCTGAATAAACACTGTTATCTTGTATTTTAAAAGTTATAAAGGTATTTATGCAAAGAGCATTTACCAAAGAGACTTTATTCACTGGTAATCCCTTAAAAGGTACAAAATAAAGTTAGGAACTTTTTAAAAAATAGAAACGGTTCAAATATTCACAGAGTTGAATAGTTTACTCATTTTGCTTGAAAGATAATACACGTTTAATTGCAAAATCACTAAATAAGAGTAAACTTATCAGGAAAAAGAAACTTTTCTGTTTAAGTTGCCACCTAAAAATAAATCTTCCTATTTAATTTTAAATAGAAGTCACTGACAGGAGGACAACAGGAATAACAGTTTTTCTGAGGAAGGACTGATTAATCCTGATACATCATCAACTTTTCTTTTTCTTTTCACAACTTAGTTATATGAGTAACTGTTAAAATAGCAAATTTCTGGAACAGAACGGTTTAAAAAACGCTTTAAACTGATTTGCTGTGAGAATTTTAGAAAAATTGCAGGTTTATAAAAAATTCAGTGCTTTAGAGTAAAATACACTAAAAACAGCTTGGTAACTGATATCTGTTGAAAAATAAGCACATACAAGTAACACTGCCGAGAGCATTTACTTAAATATTCATGAATTGGGGTAAAACCTGAGAAAGGTACCCACATTTGAATAAGTTGACTTATAACAGTACTTCTGTGTAAACCCAAAAAGCTAAAATAGTGTGAAAACTCATTGACTTGAATACAAATATTTACCTGTAAAATATCTGAAACTTGCAACTGTTTAAACAGATAAATTGCTACACAGTGAAAAACATGACAGGTGTGTTAGAAAAAGACTTTGACCCAAAAGGGATGGCGGACTGCTTGGAGAACGCATTAGCGCTTCTGACAGCGTCCTTACATCCATATATGAATCAGACAGAGCGCATGAACCCAAAAGAGTTATTGGACAATCTGAAGGAGGTTGCAAAAAGTGTGACCTCTACAGAAATCACAAAGTCAAGTTATGAAAAGCTGGCTAAAATTGCAATTTTGCTGAAAGAATCATTCTATAAGGCTGTTGAGAAAGCTGATAACCTCAAACAAAGGTTAGACAGTGAAATAGTGTTTGCTCAGAAAATTGAAGAATACGTCCTTCAATTTAAAAGTGATCACGAGGCCCGCATAAGAAAATATCATGAACAGATGTCTCAATTACAGCAAAATACAAGTGCAGAAATTGATTTGCTGAACAGCAAACTACAAGTACTTGAGGCATCACTATCGGAAGCCAGGGATAAAGACCGTGCGTACCAACCCGTGTGTTCAGATAACGATGTGCTACAAGCACAGTTACAGATCGCATTAACGGAGCTGGACGATTGCAAGGCAGACAAGGCGGGGATACTCCGACAATGGCTGAATTTACAAAGTAAATATCAGACATCACAGGAGCACCTGACAGCTTGTGAGGAGAAATTAGCTACAGCTACAAACCAGATTTCTGATATGGGGCGGGCTGGTCTGAGACTCAGAGACGAACAGTATCAGGTTCCGGGTCAGCCACAACCTCCCCAGACAGATGCTGTTGCACCTCTTCCTCCTGACACCACGCCGTTACCCCCACCCCCATTATGGGCGGTAGGGACAGAACTGCACCAATATGTACCTCTTCCTCCTGACACCATGCCCCCACCCCCACCACCATCACGGGTGGTAGGGACAGACCTGCACCGATATGTACCTC